GTACCAAGGAATCCGACGAATTCCGACCGGAACCCGTTGGAAGCTGTCGGATTCCTATCGGAAAATATCGGATTATTCAAGGTTTCCGATGGGATCCGAGGTTCAGATCGTTCGACCTGGGTTGGTTTCATCACTTTCAGGTAACGAACATCTTTAGTTAATTGAGTTCTCGCTTCCTTTAGTGATGGTCGTAAAGTACTCATCGCTTCATCACTTAGAACAAAACCATTTTGCAAAGCATCTAAAAAAATAATAAAAATTAATAGACGAATTTGTTAAATAATAAAAACACTTACTTTCTATAGCTACGTATCGATCATCTTGGTCGTCAAAGTGTTTATTTGACAAAATTTCACAACGTTTATAAACACCCATAGTCATTTTTCGAAGAAATGAACGAATAGAGGTCAAATCATGTTTAAAGTGCATCAAGTTTGTGTCTTTAAACATCTAGGAACAGAAAAAGCATTGCATTAAAGGCCAACAATACTGATATAGTAATATATATACCGCAATTTGTTTTGATGGTATTGTACTAGATGGTGATAGGATGGTCGAATTACGCAACGAAGGAGAAGTACTAACAATACTAACTGGATTGCTCGGCACAACGTGCTAAAAATTGCGCTAAATGATTCTACTGACGACAGCACGCAAGGTGCATTATAAATTTTTTTTTTTTTTTTTTTTTTTTATTATGCAAAAACAGAACTGTGATCCTAAGATCCTATCAGTACATATAAGTAAAGTAAGGAAGAAGAGACAAAACAAGAACAACAGAAAAAATCAAAATCAAAATAACAGGTTGTATAAGTAAAAAGTTAAGCCTACACAGAAAACAGATCATATAGAATCAAAAGATTCTGGAAAATCCTTGAGGAGTTGGATTTCATCAATCTCATAAACAGGTACGGATGAACGAGAAGGAATAGAAGCCATCCACCCAACAATTTTTTCTATAATTGATTGGTGAGGAATGAATCTTTTAGATGTTCGTAGACATTTAATTGAAAATTGTTTATCAATCCAGATCTGTCTGAATACATTCAAATTAGCTTTTTCAAACAATAATTCACCATCAATCGAGTCAGCTAGAGCTGCAAGGTATTTCTCCCAATAAGAATGACATCTGTCTTCAAGGGACTTCTCATCCAGAGCAAATGCAAAGAAATTTTCATTCCAATGTAGACAATACAATACACGCCTAAGTGAAGAATAATAAAAATGTGACAAATCATTTTGTTGATTTTCAGAAAGAAGAGGGTAAATCGGATAAATCCATGTAAAAATAGGTAGTACATGAGACATAAAGAGAGTTTTACGAAGATATGGAGAAGAACAACCAAAGATTTTAAAGGATTTAATTAACGAAATTCTTTGTCTAATTTTAGTCATCATATATTTTAAGAATTTACCCCAACCTAGTTTTGGTGAAATTATATAACCAAGGTACTTATATTCTGAGGTCCATTCAATTATATCCATTGTATCTTGACGAAAATTAATAACAAATTTAGGATGACCAATTGCACGCGCACTAAACATAGCTTTAGTTTTATTGAAATTTATGGGCTGATCAGTTAAACAAGAATAGTAATCAAGATTATCAAGAAAAACTTTGATTCTTTTTTCCAAATCAAGACATTGAGAAGAATAATTTATTCCTAATTGACCGGCCATAATTCCAGCTAAATCATCAGCAAAGAAGTGATTTATACAACCAGATAGAGAACTACACATATCACAATTATATGTGATGAATAATGTTGGAGTAAGAACACTTCCTTGTGGACCACCTTTTTCGATAGAGAACCAGCGAGATTTGCTGCCATTGATTTCTATGAAGCAACGTCTGTTATTTAACCATACTTCGATCCAATTTAGAAAAGAGGAAGGAATACCTAAGTTACGTAGTTTTCCAATGCAACCTAGAAACCACAATTGATCAAATGCAGCGCGAAAATCTACAAACATCGTACAAACTGGAGCACTATTTGACATAAGACTATATATATCTTCAAGAAATAGAAGTAAACGTGTTTGTAAACGAAAACGTTCTCTAAAACCTGATTGGCTGTCCGGTAAAAGACCTCTTCTAAATAAAAGATCACGAAATCGAGTAAGAAATAGTTTCTCACCTATTTTCTGAAATGAATCAAGAAGTGAAATAGGACGAGTTAAAGATGGTAGACAAATGGAATCCTTTTTTGCTAATAAGATCATTCGAGTATCTTTCCAAGCAGAAGGTAAAACTGACTTTTGAAAAGAATGATTGTAAAGTTTTAACAATAAAGACCAGTAATTAAGATCAAGAAAATTAAACATATAATTCGAAATACCATGAGCATCTAGAGATTTTTTTTTCTTTTTAGCTAGAACTGTATTTATAAGTTCATCAAGTTTTACTTCAGGAATGACTTCGTTAATATTATCATATTCAATTGCAGGTGAATCAGTATATGGATGAGGTCTAACAATATTTGATGCTTTAAAAAATTCTTCATAATAATCAGCTGCTATATTGCACATAAGATCACTTTCTTTGACTATTTGACCTGATGAATCAAGAAACGCATGTAGAGAGGAAGACGATGGTTTGAGGAAACGTTTACTTCTATACCAAAATGAGTTAGATGACGAGGAGGAAGAATTACGATGACGAAGAAGATTATCAAGTTGAGAAGAAAAAAAAAGATTAAGTTCTTTTTTAGCAATCTTTTTTAGGAAACATACCTCCTTTTTTAGTATGTCACATTGCGTTCTTATTTGTCTAAAAGACAAAGCTCTAATATAGGATAAGAACGATCTTAGTTCAACAGGTAATGCTGAACGATATCTGTCTAAATAAAAAAAGGTTGAACAACGAGCAGACAAAAGATGTAAAAAACGGATGTAATCATTATATGTTATGTCAATAGAAGAGAGATTCCAATTCTCTTCCCAAAAGGAGAATGTGTATTCGGAAAAAAGTTTAAAAACCTTCCAATGAGTATTTTTTCCAAGCTTTTGTTGTAAAACTTTCAACGGAATAACTGAAAGTATTGGACGATGATCACTAGTTGTATTACCATTATATACTTGAATATCAATATTAAAACCTCGAACAAATGCATAATCGATTACTCTATCAGATCGTAATGAAGTTGAAGAGTTCGGTAGAGCTTGAGCTAGAAATTGATCGTCAGCCCATTGGAGCAATATTTCAGCTTTTTTTCCATCCTGCATGATATCAACATTAAAATCACCATAAATAATACATTTCTTTGATAAGAAATGGGAGAGATCATCCCATAACCATGTTTTACTATCCGGCGCATATACGCCAATTAATCTAAAAGCATCTTCACCTTTAACATCAACTACACAAACATTAGGTAACTTACATGGAACTCTACTTATCGAAATACCTTCTTTCATAAGCATTAAGACACCACCATTTCTGTTTTCACCCTTCTGATACAGCAATCTATAGTGACAGAAAATGTTTTGATAAAATGAAATGTCTATATCACCGGTTTCAAGAAGAATAAGAGCATCAAATTTAAATGAAGAGATAAGAAGAAGAACTTCTTGCCATCTAAAATCAAGTCCTCGAACATTAAAAAGAAGAACATGAAAAGAGGAAGAAGAAGGCTTTTCATAAACAGAAGTAAAACTCTGCCATTGCGAAAAACAAGAATAGAGATTTGAACTACTTTCCCATTCCTCAAGGACTTTGCAGAAAAGATTGAAATCAAAATGAGAAAGAGAATTTTTAGCTTTACATAGAAAATAATTACGTTTAGAAAGTTTAGAAGGAGAAGCACATGAAAAAAAAGGAAGAGCAAGAGGAGAAAGAGACATCAGTTGGTAGAATATTTACTTTCTTTTGCTTTCTTCATTTGGATAAGATAACGTTCAAGTTTAAGTTTAAGATCAATATCAAGTATATTTCCTTTTTTGTCCTGATTTTGTGATGCAATTAAACCAAATAAATCTTCAAACATTGGAATAATTAATTTTATAAATAAGTTATCATGTCGTTCAATTAAAAGACTATGATGAACCAAATCTTTTTTAAATTCAATAGATTGTTTAGAAAATAAGTTTAAATTTTCTTTAACAATTAAATCACTTTCTTGTTTTTCAGTCTTAAATTGTTCAAATTTATTATACTTGGATTCAAGATTAGAAAGATGATTATTTACTTCTGTGATTTTCCCCAGTAAATCATCTAATTTAGTTAGCATAGTATTATTATGATTAGTTGGTAAATATTGAGGCGTAGGCATTGATGGAAACTCAGAACTGAAATATTTGAAGCCTGAATTGCTCATGTTATTTATGTTGTTAGTAGTGGAAGAAGTTGAACAATTAATGGAAGATAATAGTTTACGTGTTAATTCAGATCGAAATGATTTTACTACTTGACATTTAAGAGAATTTGACTTATGATTTTGTCCACAATGAATACATTTTTCAATTTTAGAACAAACATGTAATTTTAAATCATCAGCGCAATCGCCACATGTACGGCATGTACTCTTGACCTGGGTACATTGTTTCATGAAGTGACCTAAGCCCATGCATTTCGAACAAATTAAAATATTTGCAGGTGCTAAATATTCGTCGATATCATAGACTATATAGTCAACAGTAATTTTTCTTTTAAGTAATAATTCTTCACGAACAGAAGAAGAGGTTAATTCAAGTTTAACTAATTTAATATCATTGTTAAATTTGTTTTTTAACCTAATAACATTTTTGATTTGTGGATAACGTGTTTTAATTTCTTGACAAAATTCGTTGAAATCCAAGCGAAGATCTACATTTTTGATTAATAAAGATAGTTGTGGTGGAATGGAAGGAGAATATGGAAATGTATAATCTTCATTACTAAAGGTACTAGGCCAATGGTTTTGATCCAATAGAAAGGAAAAAGAAGAAGCATCTTTTAAGAAAACAAGAAAATCATAATCATTGTTTGAACTTCTATTAGATAAACGACAATTTAAGATATTGATTTCCATTTGATATTTTTGGTTACAATAAGCAATTAAACCTTCTTTAATTTTGTTTGATGTAACTTTACCAGAATTGAATCTAATAATAAATGGGGGGAAAGGATAACGTGTTTGAGCATAACGAGTAGATTCAGTAGTGATTGAGATCTGTTCCGGATGAGATGCAGGCAGAGCACCTTGAACTTCTGGATCATTTGAGACTGGCTGAATATCTTGCAATCCATGAGCTTTTTGAACTTGTTGAACATCTTGTACATGATGAGTATCTCCCACATGTTGAACTATCTTATGTAGAACGGGTTCAGTAGCCATAGGGTCTGGCATAGAAAGCAAAGGTGAAGATGCAACAGGTTTTGAAATAATATTTGTTTGATAACGTGTCCGTTTTTTCTGAGTTGCAGATGTCGCAAGTTTGCGCTTGATTTTCTTTTTCTTTTTATTTTCTACTTGTTGGAAACCATCAAGTGTAACATTGGACGAAAGTTCATTTTGAATAGGTACAGTTGGTGAATCAATAATCATATTTGTTGAAACTGTGGCCGAAACCACTGAAGTTTCATTTAAACAGTTTTGTAAAATATTATTTGAAGAAGAAGCCATTTAAAATGACTCCAGTTCAACAATATTGATAAATGATAATGAATAATAGTATGTTTTCTTTGTGCACACTCAAAGAGTGCTTGAAAGAAACAAAGAAAGAGAAAAAAAACAGATATAGCTCGAAAGAAAGAACACAATGCGGCTTATCTATAGCTCGAAAGAAAAAGGAATGACTTTAAGCAGGTATTCCAAAGCATAATTCCTATTACTTCAACGGTAGAGTCATCGAACGCTGTTTGTACCTTAATACCTCTAATGAGAGGTATTTAAAGATCTCATTCATACCTTGTGAAATCGAAATGTCTGAAGAAAGTACTAAGTCACTATCTTCGGTTTAAAGTATTTGAAGTGCCCTGCGCTGACTTTTAACTAGAAAGAGCATTGGAAGTCTTTTTCAGTTAATACTACTTGTTTTATATATTAATTAACTCCCCTTTTTTGTGTTTCAATTAGATGGATCACTAAAGATCTTCCATATCTTTGTTTTAGATTCAGATATTTTAATGTCCGATTCATTGCATGTCTTGATAAAGAATAAACTGAAATACGTCATGTATAATACCGCTCATTTTGAGATATTTTCGAGTCCGCATCCTCCAAACCTTTCGAGGCATACGTTAAAAGATTACTCTTAATCATCACGCTTCATGTGAAGTATCTGAAAGGAGAACTGCTTGCACTTTCATTACAAAGATCTTTTGAAAATACTTCTTCATGAATACCAATTATGTCAAGCATTCTGAACACTCATTTGTCGCAACACACTCAGGAAGTATATACTTTAAATCTTACTTTAAACGAAAAACATCTCGGACTCTTCGAAATACCTGAAGAAGACGTACTCGCTGAAAAGCCTCTTTAAAAATCCTTTTTCATAAAAGTGAATGAATGCTGCTTTCACATACCTCAAATGAGAGGTAATGGATTAAAAAGACCTTTAAGAGTCTTTCCCAGATGATTTCAAAGCAGAAGTCGTCGAAATACCTGAAATTTTTCTTCGTTAGCTCGGGATCTCTCAGTCTGTGCTATGGTTTATTGGATGATTTTGAAGCAGTGCGTGAGGCTATTGGGCATTGGTGAAGCTGGGACTATGATTGATGGTTATTTGTGGGGTGTCAGGAAATATGCGCGAGATCTCAGGAAGATTAGAACTTCCGAGTTTTTCCCAGGTGGAACCGGTCGGATTTCTTTAGTTCCTTCGCGTATTCCGATGGTTTTCCGTGTGATCACGGGTCGGTTCCGGCAATTTTTCCTAACGGTTACGGTGGCGGGAATAGTGCGGAATGCTCCGGTTACAATACGGTGATTTCCAAACGGAATACTGCTTCCACCTTCCGGATAGTTTTCCGGTCCGTTTCCGGTTGGAATGTCGTTGGAAATCAACGGAAGTATCGGGAAATAACCCCGTTTCCCGCCGTTTCCGGTCGGTTCCGGAGTCTGGAATCATCGACCTGGGATATATATCAACATTGTCATTACAGTACAACTCATCATCATATATATTGATTACTAATCAATTAAAAGTGGTCGCAATTTGGAATCGAATAAAAAATGAGATCAACTTAAAATTCTTCTTTCCAAATTGCGACCGTTTTTTTCTTAATTGGCTTAATTTTCGGTCGCAATTCGTACATAGCCAAAAATTTAAATAGCTTGCAATCTGAAAACATAATCAAAGAATTAATTAATCATTATCGATGCCAAAATATAATGTATGTATGAGATCATAGAGGTTCTGTTAGAAGATATAAATGACGAATAAACAATTGGGTCTATTATATTACGAATTTGATGTTAAAATAAAATTGATTTTAAGAAGAATCGAAAGTTAAACTCATAATCATCCAATAAATGAGAAAATTTATAAGAATTATTCAGTTATAAGAAATAAAGCATTAGAGATAAAGCTGTTCCATCCTTAATGTTTTATGATCAGATATCTTTTACGTGATCATTCGTTAAATGTACTGAAAGCAATGAAATTCAACTATTTCCTTCAAAACTAAAGAGAGGAAACACTAGGAATACTTCTAGATTAGTTGATCTTGTTTTGACTTAATTATTTTCTATAATTGTGTAATTATACTATTTGACTTATACTTTATTTGTATGTAATAAAGAATTAATAAAAAGAATTATTAAAAACTTAAGAAATTTAATTTATATTAATAAACAAATACATATAGTATTATAATATGACTCCATATTTACTAATACGTTGATTATACCTACCTGTGTGTACATAGCCAAACGTCTATGTACACACATGTGTACATAGTCAGTCAGCTATATACACTTGTATGTACATAGCCGACTAGCTATATACGCATGTGTGTACATAGTCACTTCCTATTAATAAGCGTATGTCTTGAAGTAAAATTCTATTGTGAATACAGAATTCTAAGCAGATTTCTGCTTTGTATCTCAAAGTGAGTGTATGGATAGGAGCTAAATTCTGCTCTGGATACAGAGTTCTTACGAATTCTGTCTGAATTCTGCTACATAATTCGGTTGCGGGTACAGAATTCTTTACAATTATGTCTGAATTCTACTGTAGATACAGAATTCTTGAATTCTGCTTCGTGAGAATTCTGCCTGCCCCCACCAAATCATACAATATCAGATGCAAAATCTTGTCAGATCTTAGTATCTGATTGTTTGTCCTGGATGGGTCCCCAGAACTTGTCTTTACTTTAGTCACATTTTTTTCTATACTGCCCCTAGACAAACATCTTGTAAGCAAGATCTTGGTCAAGATACAAGGTACAGATATGTTAACAGATCTTGGAAATTTAGGTACAAGATAACTGTATTATCTTGTACCCAAGATCTAATTACAGATCTTGCATAAGAATCCATTAAATCTTGGATGCACACTAAAATAAAACCTGTTGCATTCTTTAATATTTTTTCAATTTATTTTCATTTTAATTATTCCTCTCCCAGATTCCAGCAAGTCAGATGTTGGAATCTGACTGGCTATAAGTTGGTCCGAAATCCGTCGGACCAATTAGGGTAGTCCTCTCTCGATCATCGCGATCGAGATCAGCAATTCTCTCGAATAATCAAGAAATAATTGAGAAAAAAAATAATTTTGAAAATTTGTGTTTCGTATGTTCAATCATGCTGTTTATATACAACTGTGTATGCATTAAAAAATCGGTGAATGACTAGAGAGCATGCAAATACACTAATGATGTCGCTTTCTCTTTCGCTCAAGATCTTATCAGAAGATAATAGTACACGATATTTTTTCCATGATCTTGCCAAGATCTTAAGTACAGATTTATCTGATACAACCAAGATATGTACATACAAATTATCTTTCCAAGATCTTGTTAAGATCTTACTTACCGATCCCAAGATTTGAAGATCTTGCTTACAAGATGTTCGACTAGGGCATGGACTCTCTTTGATTTCCGTAAACAGTCTTGATGCATTGTCTTTTTTCTTTAGGAAAATAATAATAAATCCATTTTTCTGTCTTTCAGAGATTTCGCCTTCAAAAGTCTCTTGTTTTCGGTCAACGATTGCAGTTCTTCCTTTTCGCCTCTGTAAGAACTTGTGGAACTTCAAGCTAACCTCGAAAGATTTTGATTTTAATTTCCTAGAATTCGTAAATATTTCATCTAATGCAACTATCTTTTTAATAAAGTAACACAAGAAATTATCGAAAGCTGATCATTGCATGCGTCAAATCGAGAATTCCGTCGAAAAATTGAGTTTTTTTCACAACCAAGTTCAATATTTTTTACTTAAATTTTCAGACAGTGAACCGCAACTTGATTGCTTTTCTTGATGATCAATAAAAGCACAAAAAAGTTGAAAAAATGTTCACTCAAAGGCAACGCTAAATTTGTGACTTCAAACTAGAACATCCTTAAAATCTTGGCTACCGTAGGTAGCTAGAGGAGTTTCAGTTTGATTCAAAAAATTTCTTAGAAGCTTAATAGTGGACTATCAACTTTGATTATACGGGCCTCATCACATTCGATGGCGAAAAGAGATTCAAAAAGATTTTATGAACTGAATATGAAATCATTTCTAACAAGGGAAAATAGCTATCTATGCATTTGGCTAAGTTTGGATTAGTTCGACAAAATGGAAAGTCGTCGGACAGTAAGTGAAAATCATTAAAAATCACAGAGAACCGCAAATAGTCACTTGAAATCATTGAAACTTACCCAAGCTCACTAATAATTAACTGATTTGGTGATGATTTAAATCAGTTTTTCCCCCTTGGTTTTTAATTACTAGGAAGAGTTGAAAACTAAAGATGTCAGATTTAATATCACAGACTAGTGTAGTGACTTGAAAAATTTTTAAAAAACATAACTCAAATGATAAAACGTAAGTGATATTTCTCGCTTGTCCGTGTAATCCATGAAATGTTAGCTATTATCGACGAAAGGGAAAAAAGTCAAAATTGATATCCTCTCATCACAAGACAGTCCGTTTTCTTTATTTTTTTCCCCGCAAAATGAGCGAAACTCATCTATATTTTGTGTCATTAGCGTTTTCACTGCCCTGCAAAGAGTTAGTACTACTGTGACACTTTTTAAAATCATCTAAATATTTAATTTTCCATAAAAACCCATGGAAATCGACAACCATTGTGCAATGCTCCTAATACAGCGAAAACTTAACGTTAAGTCTTTTTTCATGATTTCGACTGCTTCCTGATATTTTTACGTTTACTTACACTATTCTCTCATTTTGAAAAATCGCCTCCTTTTCTGGTCTCCTCGCGCCATCCCTGCTTATAGTCAAACGATGTTGAGATGAAAATAAGTGATCTTAAGAGCAATAAAAGAGAAATACAATAAAAGTATTTCCGATAATTTTATTTCAGCTAAATGCAGCGCATAGATTGAATTTTCTATCTCGCTATTACATTTTAATTTGGGTAAATGAAAAAGAAAAATTATTCATCAGAATCTATCACTTTCAATTAAATGACATTTTTTTCTAACTTAATTAAGCAGAAAGAGACCTATTCTATGTTCTACGGTGCAAAAATTGTATTCAACAACTGTATAATAGTATATCGTCTTTTACTCCAGTCGAATTAATCCGCAAAACCTTAAATAGAAATTGAATAAAAATAGCAAGTTCGACTGTTGTATGTTCATTCTCTTCACGCACAAAAGCAAGCATCTTTTTTAATATTTCTCGGATTCAGCTATCTTCTACTTGATAAATGTAAAATTGTTGGAAATCAAATATACTTACGTACTATGTGATATTGGAGAGTGTGAGTTTCTTTTTCTGCTGCGTTCACTGTTGCCTGTTCACCGTATTTATACTTGTCGATATTCCTTGAGTTTTCTCCGCGTATACTTATGTTTACATGTATCAATGAACCATGTCTTTTTCATTAGACAACCATGAAGTTTTCATCTACGTATATACTTGTCATCGTGAGCGTATTTTCCATTCCAATTTTCTACCTATTTTGTTTTTCGCTTTGCTGTAGGTGAAATTATTGTTATGATTGATCAAAAAAAAATATACGCTTATATTTGTGTAAAAAAATGAATTATACTTTGGAATCTCGTAATTTCTTTTTTGTTGCGTAGAAGAAACAGTGGTTGTTTGATATCACATATGAGATATACTTGCTGTACACTCTTGAATATTCAATTTTTTAACAACAATAACTGTTTCTATTATAGGTAACATATCATACTGATTCTATAGATCAACATGCTTTTCATTACATAAGATACCATACTTAGGGTTTATTGTTAGAGCAAGTATTCAATCATGTTCTTAATTTTCTTGTCTCAAGCGTATCTTTGAAATGATGGCAAGTAGCGACGTGCAACCCACTCGATTCGTCAAGGACAGACGACGGAAAAGTAAAAGTAGGATCTACAACAGCAGTGGCGGTGATCACTGTTCCGAAAGTATGTAGATTCTATGTTCGAATTAATAATATGCTCAGACACACTGAATCTCACATTAATCCCTAGGGTGTGGGTGTGGGTGTGGAGGTGGAGGTGGGTGTATATTCATCTATCCCGACACTCACACCCACACCCACACCCTTGAAAAGTTTCTCTAAAGTGCAGGGCAGATAAATAATTTTGTTTCTCGCTAGTTGTGGCCTCTTCTTTTCTTGAGAAACATTATGAATTTATACATGACATAGATTTTGATGAGACTTGATAGTTGTATTAGTCATGTCATTTCATATTTTAGAGAGCATTTGTATACGTGTAAATATTTTTCAACAAATCTTTGTATAATTAGCATCCACTAAAACTTGAGATTTTCAATTAATCAAATCATTGGACTCATGAAGAAATTGAATTTCTTAAATTCATATTATATCAGAAAAGACTTCACGCATAAAAGAAAGATCTTGAGTATTTCAAGATTAGTAGGCCTTGCTTAATCCATAAAATCTACGCTACCTTGTAATCATTCTACAATTTAATTTAATTAATTTATACATGGTTAGTTTTTATTCAATATTTTTGCATGATCAATATTGCAAGAGCAACTACTTGAGGTGCACTAGTCAGGACTTCAAACGAAGTTTCTCAAAGATAATTACATTCAAAATTCTTTTAGACTATCGATTAGCGCAAAAGAATCTTTCTGAATAATATGACTCAGTTGCAGCTGCATTTCGACATGAATAGCACTTCATTTATCATGAGTACTTTTTGACACGAACAAATCAACGAAATTATATAATGGCACATGACGCACTTTTATTGCGCATTTTATCCGTGTTGAGAGTAAAAGCATATACTTCCTTTTTTGACACATAAAGTGGTATCATTTGAAAAGAAATAGTTGCTACCTATCGATAACCGATCACGCACTTTGTTTATATCTACATGAAGAGAAATTATGTTCAATAATAGTACTGTTTTCGAAACTTGTAATGGAAATACAACAGATAATTATCTAAGTTTTTCAATGTCAGCTTCAATGTCAATCGATATATTTAGTCAAAAATCATTAAAATGGCAAGTTATATTAAAAATAATCTATGTTACTCTGTCTACATTACAATTTCTAATAGCTACTATTGGCAATTTCATAACCATTGAAACTTTATTACAGAAAGCTATTCGTATTATATCATTAGGTGTCTATTTAATAGTTTTTTCTTTGGCTAGTTTGATCGGAATGATTCTTTTGTATGTTAGAATTATTGTGACACTGTTTTTCAACGAAGAATTGAATAAAAACAGTTTGGCTCATTGTCATACAATTACAACTATTTTAAATTCTATATACATTAATTTTATGTTGATGGGTTGGTGCATTTGTATCCATTGAACGAGTATTAGTTCAAGTTTATAAGTACAGTTTATATCGTTCACGTAGGTCTGCGATTATTATTTCTCTAGTAATTATTCTCTTAACGGGAGCAGCAAACATAACAGCATTTATCGGGTGGCGCAGTACAGTGCATCCAATTGTGCCTAATATGCATATATGTAAATTTCGACAATTTCCAACTCATTGGAAGTTAGTTGATGAAATAGTTAATAGTATGTATATTCATTTTGTTACACCATGGATTTTACACATTCTATCGATAGCATGCGTTTTAATTCATATTATACGACGTAAAATTATTTTCACTGATGCAAAAAGATGTGATTGGAGCAAGATTATGCGCCAACAGTTAACGAAGCATAAGGCGTTTTTTATTCCACCAATACTCATTCTTACGTGTACACTGCCACATGTTTTATTAAATAATCTTTCTGGCTCAAGTACAAAGTTTGCTTGTTCAAAGTCGAATATGAATATTTATCTTCGACTACATTTAGCATTAGACTATTTATATTATTCAGTTCAAACTATCGGATTTTTTACGTATATTTATCCATCAGACGTATATATGAATCGATTTCGTGAGACTTGGACAATTAGAAGAAGTAGAGCGGTTATCGGAACTTTATTCAAGCATCAAAAACTATATACGATTAATGTGATTTCACTCCTCAAGTCTTTCTATATGAAATAAGTTTCTCTACAGTTGATATCTTTCCAGTTTCATTCATTAACATATATTTTTGCATATTATATTATAGAAAAATAAATTGTGTTAAACATAAGAATCATTCGCACTATTACTTAAATTGAAATATTAGGTTAGAATATGATAATTTCTTATTTTTTTAATGCGAGTAATCAATACTTCACGTTTAATCATCTTTCACATGTTCTATGCGATATGTAAAAATGGACTAAATTTTATTTTTCCTTTGCTTTGTATCCATTGAAAATGATCAAGTAACTTGTTGGACAACATTATAATGTATTTTTATTATAATTTCGTTGAAGTAATGAAGATAGTGTTTATTTTGCATTACAAAGTACCTTATCTGATTTATAATAATAGAACTTTAGTGTTGAAATCACTTGTTTACCAAAAAATGGAATTTTTTCATCAGTTGTAGATGCAAATTTCAAATTGTGTAAAATTTGCGTCACACGTGTATAGTTTTTGCCAATTAGATTAGATCCAACCTGGTAACATAAACTAAGAATCAACGGCAATTTTGGAACATAAAAATTACAGGAAACCAACGACTATATGCTTTAGCAAATTGATGTGCACACCAAGTGACTAAGTCACATATAAAATTCACTAAAATCTATTCTCATTTTAAATAAATTTTATCAAATAAGCAATTTGTAATTAACCTTCATTCGGGCTTTCTTAGTATTCAAATGATTAATATAAAAGGTGTGGGTGTGGGCGTCCTTGTTAAGGAAACATCTTCACTCACATGCCCACACCGCACACACCAACACCCACATCCTCTAGTTTTTTGTCCGTAATTATTAGAAGTTAATCAATATTCAAGAATAAATTTGTGATATTTGAAAAAATTATGAAAACCTTGATACAGGATCCAATAAAGATTTATTCCACTCTACAATATTTCGATTTCTATACCAAGTTTAAGATAAAAAGAAACATCTGAATTATATTGCAAAGATTTATTACTCAGTCGAAGGGTGTGGGTGTGGGTGTGGGTGTCACATTCTATCTTCTCTCGCCCACACCCCACACCCACTCCGATACCCCACACCCTCAAGGTTAAACTAGCTTTGAATCGCTTTTCAACAGGAAAACGTTTTAGTAAACCTGCATATTCTGAATAATGAGAAAAGTAATTTCTTTCTGTTGTAAATAAAGACGAAAGCTGACCAACGGCGAGGGCTCAGCTATACGGCTTATGCCACCTACAATCTGACGCGGATTTACTATTAAATAAACCAAAGAAATGGCATAGTTTAACAAGAAACACTCATCAAAATGCAGTCTGTTGTTGCTCAGATCGTTCCACTCACACTTTCATGTGTTTTATTTTTGTTGAATTTTATTCATCATGAAAAATAATCATGACACAAAAGCAACAGTAATTATTAGAATAAACCTTCACAAATAAAATGTTTTACCAGTCGAAATTGATTAAAATAATGAGAATAAATATCGACAATAGATACACACGAGAAGATGAAAATATTGCTGTTGTTGCGACACTGTGACCACTTAATTCACTATCTACATAAACAAGAAATCTTCTGTTTATCTTGTAAAGAGCGTTTGTATCAATTAAAGCTCAAAAGAAAACAAGAACTAATTACTTACTGCATTTTGTAATCATAGTATTGAATTTCAGTATTCGGTGATTCAATTTATCCACTGCATATAAATAATGTTCATCTTCAGATAATCTTAATCCATATATTTCATTACCAATATCTGCTATTGTATCATCAATTAATACTTCAAACAAATTTTGATCGAACCACCATTTCAAGATGCGACTTTGATCTGCTATATAAAAGATCCTGCCATATCGATCACTTGTAATCGATGTTGGACGTTTTAAATTATATTGATAGATACTTGTTTGTAGTAATCCAGCTGAATTATTATTTTGCGCGTTATTTAGGTTGACTCGTACGACTCGGTTATTGTCGGTATCAGAAATAAACAGATGACCTCCAACAATATGAATACCTCGAGGAGACGACAATTGATGCAATCCACTACCAGAACTTGAATTTCCAGCTACGATAACGACTTCACCTAATGTTTTTAACGACCAACGGCTAACGCGATGATTATTGAGATCACTAACGTAGAGATAATTTGCTTCTTCATTCATAGTAAGGCCATAACAGTTGGCGATTTGGTTCGATTCGACCCCGTAACCGTTTCCACCAGCTATCGCTTGTAATGAATATTGTGGACCTCCAATACGATATTTCTTTATTTCTTTGGTTGTTTCATCAGCAATATATAGCCAACCGTTTCGGGAAAGATAAAGTGCTGTAGGACTTATAGGTACGGCAAAAGATATAGGTTTCGATGTCCATGAAGATGATCCCAAATTTTGTATTTCTAATAAACGATTTTGATAAGTATCAGCTAGATAGAACGTATTGGCCTTTTCATCAATAGTTAAATCATGAGTAGAATTTAAGTGTGTATCATTAATTTGTGCCACGATCGTGAAGATTGCATTTGTTGTCCAACACTGAGGGCCATGTGGAGTCGTCGTGGAATAATCTGCAATTAACAAAATGAAAATAGTCATTGTTAGTTTTAGTAAATTCAGATTCTCCTAAACATCCAGACAAGTCGTCAAATAGTCTTCCAATATTTTCGGTATAGCATACTTTCAGTGAGCTTCTCTTCATTGACACCAACAAATGCATATAATCATCAGACTGAAATTTTGAGTGCACAAAGTTTGCACAGCAAATAGCATTTGTAATTTTGGTAGTAACAAAAAGGACATCGTCTCGAAAATCAACTCCGTATTATCGTGCTCACTACATAAATAAGATGAATATTTACTTTGATTTATTGTTACGTTAGGAACTAAGGTTGTAGTCGGTGTCGTATTGTTTATATCAGCTTAAATAAAAAAAAAGAAAGAAATATATATTCGTGTGAGTTACAGAGACGCAAGTCACATAAACATCATAACATACTTGTGCACATTCTATTATCTAACTTCAATTGTAAGATTCGTCTTGTTAGCGTATCGACAAAATAAAGATTATTTTTGCTATCAAAATTGATACTTGTTGGAATAGATATATAATTTGACGATGCATTTGATGGTGGAAACCATCCATTGAAACTACTATCTCCTATCAGTACTTGTCCTTGCTGTGCACCTTTCATCCAACGCATAATTCGACCATAATCGCCTATATACATTGTTCCCTCTTGATCTAGTACGATAGACTGAGGTCCACGTAGTTGATTGAGATGTTTACCTCTGCCATTTCCTCCGGCAACAATTCGCCCCGATTTTTGTGCATTCCGAATTGAATAGCAAACTATTCTATAGTTCCAAGAATCAGCTATGTAAAGATCGTCGTTTCGTTCATCCAAATATATTCCCATAGGATAATATAATTCCGATAACGATGATCCAAGTTGTCCGTTTTCATTCCCCGCTATAATCACAGAATCTCCTTGACCATTAGCTAGTAATCTAACAACTCGATGATTCATTGTCTCACTTACATAAATATACTTTTCTGCTAGATTAGAGTCCTGCAGGTTAAGACTTTTTTGTACCCTAACCCTGCCCTACAGTAAAACTTCGTACCCTTGTCCTACCCTGCCCTACGACGTTCTTACCCTAGCCCTACCCTATCACAGAGATTTTTCATTTTACACCCTATCATATCCTTTGAGTTTCAGGTCCAAGTAAAAGTCAGCATGAAGTTTTTCTTCACTTTATTTCAATATATTTTATTGATTTTCAACGAGAATCAAATACAAAATTAATAAATTTTTCGAAAGTTTCTTAAAAATAAAATATCATTCACAACATCACTACTTAAATTTTGCCTTCTCTCTTCCAAAACTCGCCCGTTTGTACTAAAAATACGTTCATGTCGAGATGATTTCGAAGACATTTTTTATTACATTTACATGCACATTTACTCGACAAATAATCAAAAGTGAGTGAGCTCGTCAGCTCATGTATAAAATAGTACTAAACAATAGGCCATTGTTTTCCGTTTGTTTTTATTCTATCCATTCGATTTAGATTATGATATCACTCTTTACACCGTTTTTGATCAAAAAGATGTCAAAAATATATATTAAATTCTACTCCAGAAAATTTTTATTTGTATGAGCTTCACCCTACTTGTACCCTACCCTACCCTGCCCTGCAGGGCAGGGTAGGGTAGGATAGGACAAGGTTGACCTGCAGGACTCTAGCTTACGGTGAATAGTGTAACGGTTTTGAGTTACTTGTGGTTTATTCTTTCATATACTTAAGGAAGGATTACAACGAAAATGGGAGAAGAAGATTGAGTCTAGAATGACCGGTGAACAACAATTGAACAAGGGTATTTATATGTGCGCACGAAAGAGAGGCACTACTCCCAGCGATGATTGTATGACAGATGAATCCATCACAAATAGTTGATTTGTTAAGAATGATTAAATGAGATAATTTCAACAGCCGAATTGAGCAAAACTATGGTGTATAGCGTTGAAATTCGCAGAATGAAACTCATGCGAAATCCTACAGGCTTTCTGAATAATCTACTGGCATTTTTATCTTCACCTTTGTTTGATTCTTTTCATAAAAATAAACAATGAATCTTAATAGTCTCAGTGTTTCTTTAATCTCTTTACAGTGTATATAAATGTTGTTGTGAGACTCAGGCAAGAGCAATCAGTTGTTTTGCTTAATTTTATCAACACTATTGAAAGTCTTTCAATTATATGCTACTTTGAATCTAGTTATCTTAAATGTTTTTCATTAAATAGATAGTTTTTGTCAATACAAAATCCTTTGATTACGATATACTTATAATTTTAATTCTGTAGAAGAAACATTTTTAAAATATTTTTCAAATAGAAGTGAAATTTAAAAAAAATATCAATTTCACCAACTAAGATAAATGTGAACAATAATATCTCATTTCCACAATTTTTTTTGAGAGAGTTGGTACTCAGAAAATTTAAGTAGAAGTTCAGCAAAATTAGAAATTAAGAAATTCTAAGTTGAAGTGATACAGAATGACATTGCACATCCAGCTAGGTATGCTGATCGGTATGTAAACTGAAGGTCTAGAGATCGATACTCTATGTGTACATTTACTTTCTGTTCTATTTAGAAAAATATGCCAAGAGATCGATGATATCCTGAAGGAAGTTTAGTTAAATTCTAGTAAGATCCTGTCAAGATATTCCATAACATTTATTTCAGGCATTTCGAGGTCTTATTCCTCGCATTTTATCAAGAAACCCCTTTGACGATTCTTCTATTTCGAAAAACGATCAAGGAGACTACAAATGCGTCAAATACGAGGTATTGACTGGAAAAGATCTTTAAGGATAACTTTTTGATACAAGTGAATGAATGGTTCTTTCGAATACCTCAAAAGGAAGGTAGTGAATCTGAAAGACCTTTAAGCGTCTATCGCAATTGATTGTCAGGCAAGAGGCTTCGAAATACCTGAAATTTATCGTAATGAGCTTGAGATCTATTCGTGTCTGCTGTGGTATAGTTAATGATTGTGAAGTAGTGCGTGAGGTTAGTGGTATTAGGGAAGCTGGCTGGTAATTCACTTTGTTGAGGGTGCGGCGGTGTCGGAAAATCAGCGCAAGATCTCAGGAAGATTGGAACTTACGGAATTTTCCTAGATGGAATTGGTCGGATTTCATTTGTTCCGCCGCATGTTCCTTTTGTATTTCTTATGATCACGGGTCGGTTCCGAGGAATTTTTCCCAATGGTTACGGTCACGGAAATAGTACGGAATACTCCCGTTACAATACGGTGATTTCCAAACAGAATACTGCTTCCACCTTCCGGATAGTTTTCCGGTCCGTTCCCGGTGGGAAAGTCGTTGGAAATCATCGGAAGTATCGGGAAATCACGCCGTTTCCGGAGTCTGAAATCATTGACCTGGGAGCATGAATAATTTTAAAGCTTTCAAAAAAACATTTTCCCAGTAAGAGAATGTTTTCTCTCTATATATATATTCATCTGTAATTGTTGCCGATGCCAGAGATGACGATTGCAACGGTAGGTTTCATGTCTCTTGGCAATCAGAGAACGTTACTTCTGTCTACAACAAATGAATGGAGAATAATGACGCGAACAATTCGAAATTTAAGTTTTTTTCCTGTTTTTGTAAGATATTGGTGTAGGTATAGATATGCTTTTTTGGATTATACATGCGAATCGCGATAATGAGTTGGTTGTGAGGTACAAAAACTTATGAGAGATTTATTCATTCATTGAGAATTTATTCTATATAATTCTTATGAAAGAACTGTATGTGCTTGTCTAAAGATGCTAGGAAACGTATCGAAAAATCCTCATAGATTCCAATGGGAATACATTTTGGTAACTCTTGAGCTTCGATGAAAAAAACAATTCTTAGTAGTTTGTCTCGCTTTAACCTTTAGCCTCAATCGTAGTCGTTGGGCGACCTGTCCAAGCGTGACGGAATCACGTTTTTTCATTTTGTATTTTGAATATCTCAACTTATTGAAATTGGATGAAGCTGACATTTTCAGAATATAGATTTAAGTTTCATTGCTCTACATACTCTGAAAGTTTCATAGGGTTCGAAACTTCCCATGCAGTCAAAAATATGATTTTGACGCGTTAAAACGGCATCCTTTTTTCTTTTGTGTAACGCATTTCAAACCATCAAAAATGTCCGGAAAAACGCATTTTAACGGACCACTTTTCCTCTCACTTGTGACCCGTTAAAATGGTTTTTTAAACAACTCGTTTTAATAGGTTTCTGAACAACGCGTTATAACTCGTAATTTCGGACATTTTTGATGGTGTACAACCCATTAATACCATTAACGTTTTCAAGTGTTTCCTATATGCTCGTTTTAACATATTACAATTGCTAGTAAGGTACAGTGTTCACTAGTAAATAATAGATTTTAGGTAACATCGTTTCTAAGGAATTAATAATGCAAAGACTAGACTAATTTAGGGATTGATAAACTTTTGATGGAAAATCTATGTTCATTGGAAGATGGGTGTCCGTGATCAACAATAACTTATTATTGAAATCATTCTGATGTTCTATTTTACGTTGAAAGTAACATGAGATGTTCTATAATAATGACATAATCGCTGCGACCTTGAAGCTCTGATCTATTGTATTCTTTATGCGATAATATCATCATTATAAAATACTTCGTGCTATTTACAGCGTAAAACAGAACAGCAGAATGATTTCAATTATAAGTTATTGTTGATCACGGACACCCATCTTCCAATGAACATAGATTTTCCATGAAAAGTTCATCAATCCCTAAATTATTCTAGCCTTTGCATTATTAATTCCTTAGAAACGATGTTACCTAAAATCTATTATTTACTAGTGAACACTACCTTACTAGCAATTATAATATCAGCTTACGTATGCCATGATCATTATTCACTTATTCCAATCGTGGCTATAATTCCTTGAAGTACATCAAATAATTCTTTAAATTAAATATTTAACTAAGAAAGATACAGCAAAGTCTATAATAGAATGCTCTACGTAAGAATTATAAAAATTTTCGATTACAGCTAATCAAAATCTCTACACCAAAACTCTATGCTTCTGCTGCCCGTAACATTATTCGATGTCTGTTTATTGCTCGATGATGGATATGTAGTTTCAATAATAAAAATCATTCAGAAATGAAAGTCTTTTTGCGAAAAGAAATAACACACTCCGAAAGTCATTCTTATCTTATCTATATTGCAATAGAAACTGAAATTGAGTAGAATTTTAATTTCTACTACAACGTCTATGTCATAAAATTTTCTATTGATTTCATCTTTTAATGAAAATAAAATACTTTCATATAAAAAAGAAATCTATAATTTTGTAAAAATCGTCATATGCATTTTTCTACATTCTAATAGTTATTGGTTTAATCTCAGTCAAAGAAATTTTTGTTATTGAAACAATGCATAATAATTTCAATACTGACAAGACTTTCATTTAAAAAAAGGAAAAAATTACTAGAGTTATACGATTTTCCAAGTAAAAAAAACTTTTAATATAGAAAAAAAAAAACTTACTTTATTTACTTGTTTTAAGAGGATAATCAAACAAAGACGAGCATTAGCAAATAAAAAGCCACATAAAAAAATTATCGTTAAATAAATAATTAAATAATTAAGCGAAACTTCGTTGTGTTGATATTTACAATTTTAATTAATCGACTATATGTGTGAGCTGTAGATAACAAAGAACAGAAGAACACACTAAATAGTCACTTTTGCTGTTCTTTAGCTCTTCAAGACAAAGAAACAAAGAACATCTATTCGATTGGTAGATTCAATCACAGCGAATAGAACGAATATTTTCTGGAAGTGTATGTTCTACCTATTATTTTTCTTGATATAATTATATAGTCCGTGTCGATTAAGAAACAAAACGAATCTGTCACTATTTTATATGGTCGTTGTAATGTAAAACATTTGTCTAGCTACAATTTCTTTTTTTCTCTGTTACTGTACTTTCATCTGTCTCCTTTCTCTCTCTCTTTTCACTATGGCACGAACTGTTCGGGAATCATATGATTGAAATACGGAAAGAACTCCTTCATGTGTTTTATTAAAGCAATTGAATGTTCAATAATTCATGTGGAGTTGTTTTCATATACGTGGGGCACTACAAAAGTCTTTTCAACAGCCTTTAGGATAAATATTCAGAGAAGGATTTTAATCAATTTTTTCAAAGCACTGTCCTTCAGCATGAATGAATTTATGCATTCGAAAAAAACAGTGTTCGAAACAGTTCTTACAGCCTTCTTTTGTGAGACTACCAATGACTCGTTCTGAAGCAGTTCATATTTCGTTGTCGTCGATAAACTGAATTCCACGTAACTGATTCTTGAGTTTGGGGAATAAGAAGAAGTCGCAATGGCTTAAATCTGGAGGAATATGGTGGATTTGGATACTCTTCTACGTGATTTTCTAGGAAAAAACCGTTTGTAATACAAGCTCGGCGCGGTCTTACATTATCGTGATGAAAGATGAGACCTCGTGTTTCTCTTCGTTCAGATACAGCTTTGAAGACTTGTGGCAAGCATGTGCTAACATGCCAGCTTGCGTTGACTGTTGTATCTGTTTCTAATGGAAAAGATCGAATTAAACCAGATTTCATGAGGATATGAGGGTGAGAGGGTTTTCTTTCAGTTTCCTAATTTACGTTCTAGCACATGACAGTATCAGATTTTTCTGTTTCAAAAAGAGTTTATCAGATTTTTATTTTACTCTATGTTGGACTCTCATTTTGTTCATTAAAGGACATTTTTTAAAGAAAATAAATTTTTTTTTATGAAATTTACGATTGTTGATTCTCATCTTTAAAAACAAGATGGATTAAAACGCATCAAATAATCACTTTTATTCGAAGCGATGCGTTAAAACCTGTTTATATAAGAAGCGACTAGTTTTAACGGGTTAACTATTTGGAGTCATGATAGTGATGGGTTATAATGCGTTTTTTTCGGGGTTTTTCTACGTAAACGCGTTGAAACACCGTTTTAGCGTTTTTCTGACTGCATGGGCGGTTGATGAAATGTTGAAATCTAATTTAGTACCTCGATCAAGTGTAACATATTATTCTCATCTATGTGAAACAATATCTGCTGCTGCTGTAGCAGATTATGATCTACTTAATATACCACGAACTAAACGGCCACATAAAGAAGTATGATCATTTCAAGTCAGAAAAAAGTTGTCTGCATTTAAAAATTTTAAGATTTATTAACTCATAAATTATCATTGGAATATCAACGTGTAACATGGAAATATTTACGGAAAAATATTGATGTTCAATTGAGAATAGTGAACGAATCAAATTTATAACGAGTTGCTCGTTTTTTATTTAAAGATAAACTTTTCCATGCTCATAGTACTATTGTAGTACGTGCTGAAGTAAATATTAATTGTATTAAAGTTTCAACTCTGTATGTATATAAAGATTTATAAACTATTGTCAAGATCATCCAACATAGTCATGTTTTAAATGTACCATGAGCACATTTTCATATAGAAAATCCTTCTAAATGATAAGACTACATGGTAGTTTGCCATTAACCAAGACAATTCTTGCATGACTTTTTATCTTATTTGTTTATTATCTAGAGTATATTATCTTTCAATGTGATAATAAAGAATGTGCGTGCCAATCAATATTAGTTTTTTTTGTCTTATATAATTGATCACGAAGAAATAAAACTAATCAAATAAATATACGTTTTTTTTCTTAAAAATTCAACACATGTTATAATCAATACAAGAAAAGCGACAATAAAATAAACTTTGAGAATGTTTAAGAATTTAACGATGTTGAGCATCAGCATATGATGATGATGTTGATTTTGATGGCTTAAATTCTGTTGTTGTTTTACAAACTACTGGACTATCTGCAGCATGACTTACACTGACAGCTTCTGTTGTTGTAATAAGCTTTATTTGTTACCAAAAAAAAAAAAATGTAAATTTCAAGAATTCAAAAGAAAAAAACATACTGTTGTAGTTGGAGCAAGGCGATGTAAAGCATATTCTTGTTCAAGTCCAAAAACTTGTTCACTAACTGGATCTATAATTGGAAATAAAAATAATTAAATAAAACTGATTAAATAGAAATATTTACTATTTTTAGTTATGCCTTGTGCTTGATCTTTTCGATGAACATTCGAAATGGAAAAATTTAATTTTTTTTTAATTCTCAATTCGCGGAAATAAAGTTACTATTTTTACATCAAAAGCAACAAGTTTTTGAATAGGAATTGCCAAGTCATTTTGATATTCTAGAAAAACAAAATTTCTGTTAATTTAAATCATTTTTAAATCAATACCAGTTTTTTGTGAGTTAACAACAAGAAATTGTTTTTGATGTTCTTGTGCTTCATCAACAGGTTCACTAATTTCTTTTGAACGTTTACGTTTACGTCATTTATAAAACCCTTATTTCTATTAATTAAACTTATCAAGATTAGCCGTAAGATCGTTAGTTTTTGTATTATCAAGATCAACTTTTGATTGAATTTCAGTTTGAACGACTGATCGTACATGAACATTTTCATCTGGAAAAAAATAAGTGATGCCATTATATATTAATAGATAAAAAATGTTTACCTTTCAATTTATTTTCAGCAACTTCATCATCATCATCATCATTATCTTCACTAACTGATTCACGTTCATCGTCCGTCGTACACTGTGGGGTTTCGCCTAAAAGTTTATATTTAAATCCCATTGGAGCAAATCATGTAAAAGAATGTTAATATCTTACCTCTTTCTATCATTTCTTGAAAACGTTGTTCTTGTACAGCGTTAACTAAATTAGCTGTTACGTGCTTTGAAGAAAGATCTTTCTGGTATTGTTTATCATGTTGTACAATAAAACTAGCATCACTATGGCGTATTGCATCATCACGACATCTTTCACTATCTTCTGTTTTTTTCTGTTGGTTTTCATCAATTAAAACAGCATAATCGAGCTATAAAAACACAGTAATATAAAAAATTTATATATGCTTTAGCACTTACACAATCCAAAGTAACCTTAGTTTTACTTAGTTTTTCATTATTTTTAGTCATATTTTATCTAAAAATAGCAGACATTAAGTGAGTTTTATATACGTTTGTTTCTTATATAAAATTATGTTCTTTTGTGAGACGTAAAAAATTATTATAATAAAAAAGAAACACTAAACGATTGATCAATCATATCATATGAAGACGATTTTCATCCGCTGCTGTTTGTACAGTAGAATGATCAAAATAACCAACTGATGATCCATATACATTCTTTCAACATAATCTCATTCATCATCATTTTATTCATAACCAAGACTATGTATATCATGTTGTTCTTTATTAATAACAGATTTTATTTGAAATGTAATACTTTGTTTAGGTACTGTTATAACAGGTGAAACAACTAATTATATATCAAATTCTTTTAATACTTCAAAAACGTCTTCACTTGTTTTACCAACTATATCTGAACCTGGTTTTAATATATATTTTTAATGTTTTTCAAATAATTTTCTACTAGTAAGATTTCTATAAATGTTCCCCAACCATGTAAAATCATTGTTATAAATTGTATAATCATACATGATACAAAAAATAACATAAATAATAAAGCTAATAATTGTAGTTTAGTACCATGTCTGCCAAATAGTCGACGAATATCAATCATTAATTCAGTAAGTTTTGTTGCAATATATTCACATTGAAGTTGTAAAATAATCCAAATAGCATTAAGCATAAAAAAATGCAAAAATATAATATATATTAGATTCATACCTGTTTTTTTTACTTGTATTTTCTCCATCAAATTTAGTAATAATTTCTTGTAAAAGCATTTCTTCTCATTTAGCTGCTGGTCGAAAAACATGTTTAATAACGTCAATGATTTGATGAAGAAAACTACGTTGTTGTCCATCAGCCCAAAACAAATTATTAAGAACATTTGTTCGGCGTTTTTCTGAATCTAAAATATTCGACCAGGAAAAAAACAATAAAACTGTTATTTGTCAAAAACTTTTCTTTACCTGGTTTACTTATTTCTTTTTTATTTGGTTTAGTTGGGTTTTTCTTATTAACAACTTCAACTGTTTCTCTGGTACCCCATGAGACAACAGTGTAAATTACATAAAGCATAAGTAACATGAAGATAACCACCACGAATTTTAACAAGAGAAAAAAAACCATGAAGTAAATTAAACATTTTATTTCAATGTAGAAGACCAGTAACAATAAATGTAGCTACAACACTTGGTAAAAAAAATAGCATTTGGATCTAAAAAAAACAGATTTAATAATTTGAGCAGCTGTTGCTACAACTACCATCGACATAACTAATGCATAAATAGTTAAAATTTATTAATAGAATAGATTTTATATAAAAAATAAAATCCTATTTAACCAGTCATAAAAGCAGCAATTGTAATTTGTGTATCTGTTTTTGTTTTAAGATATATCAGAATAGAAAAAAGTGCTGGTAATAATGATATTGTATATAATTCTGCTATAGTTAATATTGAAAAAACAATGCGTAATATTGAAGCAATTCTTAATAAAATTGTTCTTCATCGTAACATTGTTGAAATAAAAAAACAGCTTGATAAAACATAATTTTGAAATAATTTCATTAACATGTCTTTTGTATGTTTAGTATCTTTAAGTAAATCCATAATATTAACTATTGTTGATGACATCCAATGACGATGTTGATTAAAAAATTCTTTAAATGTTTCTTGTGCATGTGTATAAGCGTCTGATGCATCACAATATTCAACTCGATAAACTTGTTCAATTAGAAGTGTTTTTAACCAAAGATTTTCACCTAGGTAATTAAAATAAATTCAATAATTACTTAAATACACAAGATATTACCTTGATCATAATGTGCTGTTTCTGTTGATTTATTTGCATAACGTCGCATAACATTATCATCCATCAATGATGAAGCACGTGATAGCAAAAAACAACGTAGACAGCAAACTATACTACTTAATTTATGTTCAGCAGCTTTTTGAAGCCAATAACCAGCAGCATATCCAAATCGTTACTACCAAACAGTTGATTCTAATTCTAAATAAGGTTTATTAATTTTCAATAAAATTAATAGTAAAATACCATCGCTAGTCGGATGAATTTGACCACAAACAGCAAGTATTTTACGATTTTTACGCATTCGATCAACTAATAAAAGAACAGCTTCAAGTTTGAAATCAACATCACAATCAAGTTCTAAAACAAATGCATTTTGTTACTTAAAAAAGCTCGAAATAAATTCTTCATTATATATTTTTCCTAGGAGGAATTTTTTTAATCTCCAAATAAAGATCTTAGCAATTGACTAAAACCGATAAAGTCTGTATCCAATCTTGTTATATGTTGTGTTACATTTTGTCTATCTTGTTTTCAACGTAATAGTTTAAATGATAATAAATAATACATATAGGATAACCGTAAGAAAAAAAAATCTTTTTTGAAATATAACGAACTCGACTCCAACGTTTTTTATATCGAATTAAATATTTATGTTTCACGTGAACAATTAAACGATTTTTTCCTGGTAATAACCAAACAGAACGTCCACCATAAGGTGTTGAAATTTTAATTGGATCTTCAACAATTTTTCTATACCATAAACACATCGAAGTTATTTTTCAATAAGTTATTTTTTTCGAAACAAAGAACTTTTCATACGTCCAGCAATATTAACAGGAGAAATTAATTGTTTGACATAATGATTGGGAAGATAATTGCCGTTTTTATCCTTTTGAAATACATCATCGAATAAAACATGTCTTTCAAATCGATAATAATCAAGATCATGTATACGTAAGTTTTTTTGAACTATTCGACGAGCATGTTAATCACAGTCGAGACTATTAAAACAAAAAAAAAGTTAATAAGTTATTGTTTTTTGTTATCTTATACCGAAATATTGATTTGAATAATTGAACCATTGCACTTGTAATTTCCATGCAGCATTGCTGCACATACATAGATCATTGGAATAGAAAATTTTCTTTCAAATGTTAAATCAGATTCAATTTTATCTTAAAAAATAAAGAAAGAAAAATTTAATTTAAAGATTTATTTTCTTACCTTTCATTTCATTTCTCTATCATCTTTTTGATGTTTATGAAGGAATAAATTTTGTTCAACAATAGCTGATTCATAATAAGGAAGAACGAATAATTTAATAACAAAAAATTAAAATTTCATAGAAAAACCAATAAAAAAACGAATGGTATAAAATTGGCCGAAAGAAAAAACGTCGAAAATGCTATAGTTAGAGTATAAACCCAGCTTTTCAACAATCCTATATGGACAATCTGTAGAAGTATCCATCGTTGTACTTTTAAATGGGCAGCATATGCTCAAACTCGATTATAGAACTTTCGACATTTTTTACTTTCGATGTTTTTTCTTTCTGCCAATTCTATGCAAACCAAAAAACTAATAAATCATTGATAATCGTTCAGATGTTGGAAATCATACATTAATTATTATTTTCATTTTTGATAACCATAATAATAAAAATCCAATTAAAGATATTATTAAAAGTTTTGAACCAACGCGCAAAATATTTAATTAAATTATTTTAATTTAAAAAACATAATTTTCTTTATACATTCTGGTTTAGAAAGATAAAAAGATCAATAGTAGTTATTTATTTTTATTTTTCACTCGTTTAACAAAACAATTATACAATATAAGCAATTAATTTTGATTATGTTAACGCTAATGATAAACCGAGATTTTGTATTAATATCTATATGTAAAAATAAATCATTTCTTTATTCTACTTTACATACAAGACGTCCAATATAATAACACATACATGATGAAATAATTTATATAATTAATCATATATAAACTTTATATGTTATTATTCGAAAAAGATCTTGTTCATCAAAAAATACTACCAAGTATACGACGACTATTTCTACCGTTATAAATAATTGATATTTGTTCAAATAGTAATAAACATCATTTTTGTCAATAAATTCTGCTAAAAAACAAGCTGGTTTTCTTATTAATGGAAATATTTTTAAAATACTTGCTGTAACATATACTTTTGGACGAGTTTTTAATCATTTTATACCATATTGAAATCATTTGAAAAAACATTGTTTTCCCATACGTGTTTCAATAAAACTTTTCCAATAACCAATTGATATAGAAAAATAATGCTAATAGTAATTCCCATTGGCATTAAAGTCAATTTGAAATTTTTTCATTTGTTAATTATATATATGGAATAAAACAAATATATAATCCCATAAAAATTGATCCGATATTATTAAATAATACTAATATTTTTATTGTTCGATTATGATCACGATTAGATGACAATAGATTTAATATCACTGATATTATACATACATTATTTGATATGAATAAGCCACTTCCATCATCTATCGGAGATAATATGTCAAAGACAAGTAATGATAAACCAGCTATATGTCAGGCTTCAACAAAATAAACCTAACAAACTTAATATTCAATTTACTAAATAACATTTTATGGAATTAACATACACTAATAACAAGAAAAATTGTGGTGAACATTTTATAGAGAAATGAATAATTTAAGACTATGAATAAATATGGTACATCCATACAAGTAAGTAGTATTCCCCATCGAATAATATATACACTTGACTATAACAAAAAAAAGATTTAAGAAAAATTTAATTAAAATATTTTATAACATACTTCTTGTTAACGAGGTTTATATGCATTAATCATAGTGAATAAATGAAGTTTACTAACAACAACTGATACACGAACAACACAAAAGAATATAATATAAACAAATATTTTACTAATACAACGAAATATAAGTCGGCGTTCTTTATTTCTACTTTGTTCTTGTTCAGAATAGCGATTTGCTATATGAACAACATCTCACCAATAACCATTATTATTTATTTTCATTAAGATTGCTCTTTATAAAAAAAGCAATGGATTCAATTGATTTTTGTTTTTGATAAAATTTGAAATTTACTTAGCTTTAATTGAACCATTCAATCGACATGGTAAATTTTGTTAAAAATATGATCTTACTGGTAATATTGAAGGTGCTAGCGGTGATGGTCGGCACATACAATAGTAGAATGCATAGACATTCTATTGTCGCATGCGTTAACCACTTCTAATGGTAAACGTAAGTGTGTATTTTCTTCATATATCTCTCTTCATATTTATCTGTCTATTCTATCGATTCTTTTCGATAGAAATTAAACAGACGAATAAAAGAAAAGAAATCAGATAGTCGATTCTATAGAAATATATGTCCTTTGCTTTCTTTGAATAGAAAAAAAAATGAATCAGATCGAGTAATCGAGAATGTATTTAAAATTTTATTTCATTTTAACAATATGATTATTAAATCTACAATATTATATATAAAGAAAGTATAAATAAAAAACAAAATTTTTCTTCATATCTGACATAATCACATCGGCTGAATTGGAGTATTCGATCGTGGTGAAATTGTTTTTGTTGTAGTTGTTAATTTTGTTTTACTAATCATTTTTCATTTTATTGGCTTATTATCATCATAATCATGTTTATTTATCAAATATTTATTTAAATCATGCATTTAGAGGAATAGTACGAAGTGTACATGGTAAAAATCTTCGAGTAGATACTTGCCATTCTTCTACACAATATGATTAAATAGACAGGCATATCAACTTTACTTGCCGAAGAAAAATTTGTAAAAAACAAAATTCCAAGTTGGAAAATAGGCAGCTAATGTCGTTGATAAACCATGGAAAAATTTATGCCGAACAACTCGTCTGTCATAAGATATTTTTAAGAAATCAAGTAGACCTGTATTTATTAAATGGGCTGATAAAGCAAACAATTCTCTTTGTTGTTACATGCCTTGTATTTGTAAACGTATTTTAACAATTTCAACCGTTGAACAACTAAATATTGTGCAAAACCAGCAATACCGCTAATGCAAAATAACTCTCAGGATTATTAAATAAACCTTTTGAAAGATTTTTGAATAGAAAAAACTATTTCATTTATAATTGGAACAACAAACATTGATGATGGCAAGTTTTTATAAAAGCCTAAAATTGATTCTTGTCGTCGAATTTTAATAAAACAATCAAATGAACCATAACATAAGCGATAATTAAAGGAGGGTAGGGGTGAGGCGAACTTTAGCAATATCAAATAGATAACTGACAATTGTAACGATTACTCTAGTCTCAAAACCAAAATGAAAATCTAATACTATCGATTAGTGTGATAGTAAAATAGAAGGAGAAGGGTATTTTAAAACTAATATATAGCTGATGGAATGCTGAAAAGAAGAAAAATAATTATGACAATGAATGAAGAGATACACTTCTTCTCCTTTCCTTTACATGTTAACGCTTTTAAGACCAAATTTTCGATGGGTAATTTTTGTTGATATTTAGGCCACAATCAAGTTGGCCTCTTAACCCAGATTATCATGCTCGAGGATCAGATCGTGGGATGTCCATGTTTATTGCGACCAACGTAAGTATAATTTATACAAAACCTTTAGTAAAGCGACAAAATTGAATTAATAGTTTTCTGACCAACAACAAACAAGTGACATTGAAAGGGTTAATGGACAATGTGAGTAAAGAATATAGAATTATCTTTATTGTTATTTAATATTTTTCATGACATCATTCATTCTATATAAAAGACTGAGAAGAAAAATAAAATAATATAAAGCATTTCCTGGAAAGAATAAATATACTCATTTGATTCATTTCCAAGTACTCAGATAAATATTGTCTATAGATTCATGATGAAGAGTGAATATTTTCTGGTATTCCGACTATGTCATATATAATTATAGAAATCTATACCTTCAATTGACTATGATTCATTTATCGTACATATGTACACGAAAATGATGAATGTTAAATGTACGATAAAACGAAATAGGATGTATTATGTGTGACTGATCATTTGTATTTTATCAGTCAGAAATCCATACTATTTTATTCAGCATTTACATCAGATGTATAACTTGTCATTGAAAAACTTTTCAGTTGAATATTACACGGATAGACTTCGTCATCTAAACGATTTTTCTTTCTATACTTGACGATGAAAATGACGAGAATAAAAAAATTCAATGATTAGTTGTGTTTATTGATTAAACTAAACATTCAAATATTGTATTCAAACTTAGATTTTAATATAAAAGAAAGATGAACTATTCGGAAACATGATTATTATTCAGCCTATCCAGATAACTCTGCTACCGGAGGTGAGTGCGTTCTCAAAGTCATATTTTCCGTTCGTCTCGCAATTTTGTGCGCATGAGTAGAAAAATGTGGGCATTATCTTAATTGGTAGACAAAATGAGATGGTGCCGATATTTTGCTGTACATGCGTTCAAAATTTAGTGAGACGATCGAACGACATGAACGTGGCAACGCACTGATCCTTCGGTAGTAGAGTTAGCTGAACAAGCTGTTTTACTTTCTCGAAACCTTTTTCGCCCACCCTCAACGTACTATTTCTTGCAATCATGATTTTTGGATACATCTAATAAATATACACTTGATCAAGATCGCCTTCTTCTAGTTGAACAACGAAAATCAGCGAGTAATATTCAATTATTAGCTTTCGAACATAAATAATTAGAAAAAAATTCTCATCTCTTCAAAATCTAGCTCAATCTTCACCAAAAACGTCATCGTTCAATTGACGAATCTAATGTTTCGAATATTCTTCAATTGAATGAGTCATTAGAAATAACTTATTCAAAATTCATTGAAAATTTAAATTATACCAATCAATATCTTTTAGCACTATCGAAAATCGATGATTTAATAGGAAGTCTTTCTGTAACTTCTGATAGAAATCATTCAAAAAATCTCGCTTTAGCCAATCATCTAGAAAGTAGTGAAGATGATAAATCGAAGCCAACAAAAAAGAACATTATTCTATCGCCTATCAGAGGTGGAACCGGTAAGATATCGATCAACCGGTCCTGTCCGGCCGGTTAAAAAAATTTACCGGTCCGGTCCGACCGGACATAAATTATTCTCGAACCGGTGAAATTCCGGCGAAAACCGGTTTAAAATCGGCGAAACAATGTTGAAATTTTCGGAAAAGAAAACTTTTACAAAAAATGGCTCTACATATGAAATATTTTACGAACACATGTCAAACACATTCATATTACTGAATCTTTTCAAAGAGAACCTCAGAACGAATGATTCAAATACTATGTTTTGAACAATTTTTTTGGGCATTCTGACAGAAAAACATGAAATCTTCCTTTTTATTGTCAAAAATAGGGTTAAAAAAGGAGATTTCTCAAAACTTTCAACCGGTGAAATTCCGGTCTCTACCGGCCCGGTTGACTTTCTCAACCGGTCCGGTCCGGCCGGACCGGTTCCAGCGCTGTCACCTATTGGCGCTGTTATTTTACCGAAAGATGGATTGTACATTATTCAATAATCGGTAACTATAAAATCTTACTGATTTTTTTCTCTTTCCTTCCAGTCATCGTTTCTGAACGAATAGTAAAATTATGTTTCTACTTGTATAAAATTTAAGTTTATTAATGACAAGTGATAGACTACCAACACTAGGATGAAATTGTATATTATTTGAATTTGTTCACCTTTTTCAATTACGATGGGCATTGGCGGAAGTTTTGAAACATTCTAATTGTCAACTAGTATATAGATCTTCGCTACGAACTGTTTCATTAACAGCAAACCACTGTAGTAAAGATAATACACGGACCGTAAAAGTGAGCTACTAGCTGATGAAAATGACTCATCTTGTTATACCAATACAATCAATAGTTTCTGCAGTAATTTGTTGTTAATTATCATGAACAAAATATATATATATATTATTTTTTATTGAAATAATGTTTACAAGATTAATATTTACAGAGAAGAAAAGTACGAGAGGAAATTTTCTGGACGAACAATCGGCTCTGTTATAAGAAGAGTTTTTATTTGAGCACAAGTGCGACGTGCTGCATCATTAGTAAAACCTTCCGTTATAGTCGCTAATGTGTCGTATCCAATGAAGAGATACGTCAAACGAGGTAAACTAATGTTTTTATCGAAAAGAAATTCTACGGCATAGTCTATATGTGCTTTCCTAACATCGAGTTTGTATAGATGAGGAAATGTAATAATTGTAGACGAATGTTGCTTAGTTTTCTGTGGCTCCCGATTATCAATTGATAAACGTTGAAGTAGTGGAAAATTTTGTGAGATGATCTTAAATAAATCATTTTCAAATGGATGTACATCCAACATAACCAAAAGTCGAACTGTATTGAAGATACCGCCTGGAAAACGATTTGTCATAAACATAAAATTATCGAAATGATACGGAAGTGAATAGACATGACAGTAGCCCGTGCTGTTTGTAAGTTTATCATCAGCATATAAATCCACTTGTCGATATCCTATTTTAGTAAAACTATTGAGAATATCGTTCGCCGATGGAAGATCAATATCAATGTCATTGTTATTAATTTGTGTATGTATACTAAAAGTAAATTTGTTTAATCGTGGCATATAAACGAGAAAGTCATTGTATAACTGAGTACCAACAATATAAGTCGATTCATTTCGAAGTATCGAAAGAAATAATGTCAATTCCTCAATATTTGACATTCGCCGAAGTAATGGAACAATACGATTGTTATAACAATATGTATAACAACTCGAGCTTAGTGAGAAATATTTCAATTTGGGAAGTTTTTTCTAAAAAAGAAAAAATCATTAGATTTCATATTCAATCGTCAGATTTATACCTACTGTATTATCTATATTTGAAGATGAATCATTAATTTTTATAATAGAAATGATTAATATAGACAAATATTTGAGACGTCCATCAAGTAAATAAAGACAATCATCAAAGGTTTGTACAAGGATAATTAATTTAGTTAGAGATGAAGATACACAAGTTGTTGATGTTAGATTAAAAAACGAAAATGTTATACCTTGATTATGCCACCAATGAGTAAAAGTCACATCAGTTAGATATTTACCAATCGATAATATTAATGATAATATGTTTAATTCATTTCCATCAGATATTTCTCTTATATTATCAACAGTATTAACCTGAATCTGTGTGATTTGATTAGTAAGAAGGCGAAAAAGTATAGTATCACCTTAAATGTACAAAACAAAACAAAACACAAATGGTTCATGAAAAAAAATCAAATTCACTCTTATACCTGTTAAATGCTGTAAAAGTATTTCTGATTGAAAATTGTCCAGCCTTAACGATGTAAGAGCAGTAAAATCAATAGTATCAAGAATGCATGCCATAGAAAGTGATTCGATAGTGAGTTTATTTACTTTGTGATTAATTCTAGGTAAGATTTCTCTACGAATTCGATTGAAAATTGCATTATTTGCTGGAGAATTATCATTAAGAAATGGTTCAATTGTTAAGTCCAGATGATGAATACAGAAAGGATCAAGGACTAAACGATCAAATCGTTGATTGACATTCATCAATGAATAGAACATTTCGATCATATGTAATTTATGAAATATGATAAGTAATATTTCGTCAGGTAAATCGAGTATATTAATATTCTTGCTATTTAAAGTGTTCATATTCATATCTGATTGATATGAATTATTCTGTTCAATTTTCCCCTCTATATATCGATATGTACATATATATATGTATATATGTCATGAATTTTCTCCCTGCCGTCTGTGAAAATAATGTTGATTTAGTCATGTTAGACAAAGATGCATGACTAATCCTATTTTTCTTTCTGCCTAAAATGTTTCTTTTTGTTTTATTGATAAAGCATAGATATAATTCGGTCAACAGTTGTGCGATGACATTGCTCATACATTAAATGTATTATAAAACGATAGGATGAGGTTTACACTAATTTGAAATACATTCCAAAATTGTTAAATGTGTCTATTATTGAACAACGTCGGTTATCTATTTTGCTTAATTTCGATTGAAACCTATAGGAACATAAAAGTAGTCAGAGGTCTCAATAAGGGCTATCGTTGTAAAAAAATACGATTTTAATCAATCTTTTCATGATTAAAAAAACGTGTTTCTCTCGAATCTTAAATTAAAATTGAAGTTTTTAATCACATTTTCGGACTCCTCGGCGTGAGCAACGGCAAATACAATAGTAGAGCAGTCATTGACTTACCTGAGGCAGATACCAATTCAAACTTCTGTAAGAAAAAAAGTCGATAAATGAGATTCAAATCGACTCCCTTGTGGTTGTGTCAATTAAAATCTATTTTCACCTTCAAAAACACAGTTTGCTTGATTTAAATCTATTATAATCAATCAATCCAATTTAATATATTGAAACTGATCAGAAAAATGTGGATATGGTTGTAGATGAACACAAAATCCATCCACACCCTCAACATATTCTAGAGAAATTCGATTTTGTTCAAGCTTAATTTTCCCGTATAATAAATACAATTCACCATCTAGTTGAATAATTTTATCCTGCATTGAAATAAGTTGTTTCCACAATAGATGATATATTATCTGTAATTGATCCATATCAGATATACTCGTTGCAAGTCTTGCAATTTTCGAACTATCTTCTGTTCTTAAAGTATCGAATTGAAATTGTGCTGCTTCGCCATAAACTACCTGCTCTTTGCAACACGTTTTAGGACCTGATAAATAAACTACTTTATCATTGTTATGGCTACATTGAAGATCAAACATATGGTAGAATTTTTCCTTTTCTTTTGCCTCTCGTTCTGCAAGTACAGGTGAACTAGTTATAATATCTACTTTTTTTCCTTGTAAAGCATAAAATACAGCTAATACACTAATTATCGTTGATTTACCTTCACCTGTTGCTACTTGTAGTAATCTACCTTGATCCTTATTTGCATTTAAAATAATCAAACAACTCAGAATTTGTGCATCTGTAAGGTGAAATCTAGTTTCTATGAAATTCGCTTGTTTAATCACCGCTAGAGCTTCTACAATATAATCTTCGGAATTTGTATTACGAGTTTCAACATCGGTTTTTACTGTGATTGCCCATTGGCGGATATGATCTTTTGTCCATTGACTGATATAAATTAGTTGTTCTTCGTTTTCTCGATCAGACTTGTCTTTCACAGTACTGTCTAATATTTTAGAAATTAAATCAGAACTTTTGATTTTTTGTATTAAGTTTAGTAATTTTTCTTCGCCTAAGTTCTTCAAATTTGCATTATGTGAATTTCTACTTTCTAATTCTTGTATTAATTCTCTTGATGTTTTAACTCTAATTCTATCAGAAAAATTCGCTTCAACTGCAATTTTATTGATTTCCTTCAACCAACTTTCGGCAGAATTCTTGAGAGCTGTTGAAATTTTATCATAATTTTCTTTCTTCGGAAAAATCTTATAGTGTAAAATAATTTCGAGAACAAATATAGAATACCGTGGTCTGTCTTTACAATTTGATTCGTTTACAATATTGAAAAAATCATGTAATTGTTCGAAAGTCCAACTTTGATCTAATAAACTATCAAGATAAGTACCTAATTTCAATCGATCAATTCCTTTAATTCGATCACCCAAGAATTTTATTTCTAATGTTCTTTTTAATACTGGAATGGTTGCTTTCTTAACATAGATATCAGATAGTTTAATCTTATTTTCTTTTGCAAAATTGACAATGTTTTCAAATTCTGCTAAATTATTTATATTTTCTAGTGCATCAAACAATTTTTGGCTTATATCTAAGCCAAATTTTGATATCATCTTCAATGCTAAAGATTCAATATATTCACAACTAGTTCCATTTTTATTCAATAAACGTTGCTTGATGATTACTGTTAGATATTTTGTTTTCAGAGAGACAAATGCATCTTTACTATTCAACAGGATGGGGTAAGCGATTTCAAAATCAATTTTATCTAAAATTTTTATTGTTTCATAACATTCATGAAACGACGCACCATTATTCATTACGAAACGATGCAATAACTTCAATAATATATTGCTGTTACCTTTTTGATGTTCTTCAATATCAAGCCAAGCTTGATAAAATTGAAATCGCTCTGCTTCACTCATTGAAATTCTTTCTATTAAATCAAAAATTAAAAGTTCTCTATTCCATTGATTTTGTGGTTTATCACAAATTTTATCAAAATCAATGTATTTCAATGCTGAGATAGTTTCGAACAAATCGAAATCGAAAGAAACTTCAATAGGAGTATTTTCTTCCATTTTTTCGCTAATACTATCACACCATTGTTGAAATGCTAAAGATCTCAAACCTCTATCATATGCTGCTCTTAAACCTCGAAATGACCAACTGCGAATTATTTCATTGTCATTGAAAATATTATTTTCTAGAGTTTCTAATTTTGTAATTTTTTTACTTTCAGATGCGAGAGCTATGCACACAAGTATATCGAAATGAATTTTCACTAAGCTATCCGACTTGTTTAAAATTTCGATAAAAATATCTAATACACTTTCAAAATTCTTTGTTTGACATTTTGTTCTTTTGATTACTTCTTTATACGCATTGAGAATTTTTTCATTTATAGTTTTAGATAAAATGGCTTTTTCTAAGCAATTAACAATGAATTGATTTTCAGAATACTCTGGATTTTGTATTAAAATTAACGCAAAGATATCAATCAAATCCTGTTCTAACTTAGTTTCATTACCATTCAGCGAAATATTAAATGAAAGTAATTTTTGAATAGATAAATGAGAAAATTTTCGACTTATTTGGAATTCTTGTCGCATATTATTTAAAAATTTATGGAGAGTTTTTCGGTCGATATTTGTTGTAGAATCAATATCAGAAAACAAATTTATTTTCGTTTTTAATTCTTCAGAAATAATTTGATTTTTACAAATTAATTTGAGTATATCTATCGGTTTTTTCTTTTCATCTTGAACAAGAATTAGGGATATAATTTCATCAGTAACTTGTCTTCCTGCTTTAACTATTTCAGCTAGTAGTCGACAACATAATGATTTTATTCTTTCCGAATTAGTACTTGCTAGTAAAACAGCTATACTATCTAACAATTTATCTGGTATATTTTTTTTATTCGAACACTTCAGTAGAGTTTCTAGAGCTTTACTGGTTAATTCTGAACAGTTGTCAATAATAAGATTGATTTGATTAAAGTGCTGTGTTAATAGTTGAGGAAATTTAGCTAAGTTATCTAGTAATTGCTCGTCTGAATTGTAATTTAAATAAGAGAGTTTGTATGTCAGTTGTTGACTCTCGTCTAATTTCGATTTATTCAATAACGTACTAATATCCTGTTTCATAGATTCATCACATATGACACTCGTTGTTAGACTAACAAGAACTTCTATAACCTGGTTTTCTAATTCAACTTGATGAATTGATATCAGCGTTTTAAATCCACTAATACTTTTACGAATAACATCTTGATTATCTGTTTTAAGAGCATGTAATAAAGCTGTTTGAACTTTAGAAATTATGTTGTTACCAAATATTCGGCTGAATATTCGATTTAAAAGTTTTCTTTTATTGTATTCAAGATAATCTGTCTCTTCGATAACTGAACAAATCACAGATAAATATTGTTGCATAGCCAATGGATTTTCTATCTTTAAAACTTTATCTAAAATTTTACGAATAATGTTTTCGGATAGCTTTTTACCTTTTTGTCCTTCAAGAATAAAAATAAATAAAACTTGATCACAAATACGCGAATTATCTAGTGCTTTCGTTAATTTGAATCAGAGATCACAGACTCGCCGAGTTTCCTCGCCTCGCCTCGTGGCGAGGCGAGGCGAGGTGGCATTTTCTACACAGCAGCGAGCACGAGTAGACTTTGTAGCTCGCCGAGTTACTCGCCTATATTTAGAATGTTATTTTTGATGAATAAATAGGAAATTGAAGTCGATATCTTTCAATTTTATGGTAAAATTTTTAGCGTATCTATTGGCTATGAAATTAAACTAATGGGAAGAATGAATGACGATTCATTCATCCAATATTATCACAGCTTGCCCCGGTTCTTTTTTTCAATTCCAGGCACGACAGCGAATGTTGAGCGCGAATTCAGTGTCGGTGGTTTGATAGTTAATTCTAGACGTACTCGTTTAAATCCACAACAAATAAGCAACTCATTGTTTATACGCTCAGTAAAAATTGAATGATTGTTATTTATTCATTTTGTTTTAATTTTGTAATTTTTTTAGTTTTATTATTTGTTTTTCTTTCAACTTATCTATATTTATTAAGCGTATTCAATGTGAAACAATGCAATAAAGAATTGTAACTATTGCAGGTAGTTGGAATAACTACCTAAAAAGATCTTTATTAAGATAGATCACAGGCGAGGCGAGGCGAGGCGGTGGCGAGGCAGGATTTGAAACGGCGAGGCGAGGCGAGGCAGCAATGCTCAACTCGTCAACATGGCGAGGCGGTGGCGAGTCGTATTTTTAACTGACTCGCCGATCTCTGATTTGAATGAAAGTTCGTTCGGTATATCCTGATTATTTTTCACTAAATTTTCAAATATTTCAAGTAAATACTTTTGTACTTTGTGAGGTTTGAATCTTTTTACAAGTTTCTGAATTAAATCATCAGTTATGATTTGTTCATTATTTGAAGTATTCAATATGATTTTTAATATTTCCTCATTGAGTTTCGATCGATTATCAATTACTTTGCTCAATGCTTTAAAACCGTTTATTGTCAATCTTTTGCCTTCCTTTGTCTTTTCAAATAAATAAACGATAGCATGATTAGCATCAGATAGATTTGAACTAATAACAAGGCTAGCCTTTTCTAATTCTAGTATATCAAATATTTCATCTGATACATCTTGATTATCATCGACCATCGTCAAGAGATGAAACAATCTATCTCGTAATTTTTTATCATGAGATAAATAGAAGTAATCAGCAATAATTTGCAGAATTTTTTCACTCACGCTTTGCTTGTTATAAATCATGCTTTCAAATACTTTCAAAACTTGATCAAACCACTCAGGAATACTAATGACATTTTCTAAGGCTAGCATTGTTTCATCGGGAATAAGATATTTCTTTGCTGAATATTTCTGAAGTATTTTAATTACGTTTGCTTGATAGTCATTTTCAAATACTAAGATATGATTGAAAATTCGAAAAACATCATCTTCGAATGCATTTTTTCCAGCTTCATTATATAATAAGCATAAAATATTTTTATTGACTATATCAGCAAAATTTTCTTCGCCTAACTTCAAATCATTATCAAATACATAAAGTCTTGACACAAGACTAACATCACTTGCCATGATAGATCCGTAAATTGATGATAATTTTGTTAAACCTCGAATATAAGCAACAACTGAATAAACAGAAATATCATATATTCTATGGTCTATATGTTCTCTTAGTTCAAATAAAATAAAATGCTTAAATTCATGAGTTTCTGAAGCTAAATATAATGATTTTGCTGATAGAATACAAGTTTGTTTATCTTTGCTATCAAGCGCTTTAACGAGATATGGGTGTGGGTGTGGGTGGGGGTGGGGGGGGGTGGGTGTCTTTTTTTTAACACAACACCCACAGCCACACTCCACACCCACAACCCCACCCACACCCACACACCCACACCCACACACCCACACCCACACACACCCCACACCCACACCCACACCCACACCCACACCCTCAAGTTGTTTTGAGGGTCGTGTCTGTCTGGGTAGCCGACAGTAAATCACAGAGTTATAAACCTGGACATAGCATAACATATGGTCCAATAATATTGAGATGTGTTAAATTTTTGAAGAAATTCAAGATGCGCACATACATATTTCTTGTATACTCTTTCAATGAACCTACTCGTGCGCTCTTATCGTCATTAACAAGAATAAGTTGTTGAAAAACAGATCGCAGCGACGATTCATCTAAAGAAAAAACAAAGAAATTTACAATAGGCCATTCTATCTAACATTTTTTTTCTAAATCATGAAGTACATGCGTTTAGTGTTTACCTGTAAAATATTTTGCAGTGGTTCGTTGTTCGAAATTGAAGAGTTTAAGTTCAGTTCGATTTGGATAAACGGCGGCAAGAAGAATAAGTTCCATGAAAACTGGTTCAAGAATGAAATATTTCATATTACGATTAATTCTTGGTAATATGTAGAAGCAGAGCCGATCAATAAAGAAATATTATCAGTATGTACGAAATTGAGAATATTGGTGAACGTCTTTTCTTGTGCAAGAATATCAAGTTGTCCATTATTAATATCCAATAATGAATAAAGAACATCAATATTATTCAATTTTCTCCAAATGATCAATAATATTTCAGTAGGCAGATCCAGAAGATGAACAATAGATCGATTCATCGGTTCTTGTATCTACGACGCTTTTACCAAAGACCAATCTATATATGTTTACTGTTTTCTTCTAATCAGTTCTCTCATGATCAAATAAAATAGGTGAACTCATTCATAGAAAAGTGAAAAACAAATGTACAGTTCAATTCGATGATTAGTCATTGGTTGCCGTTTTTTCTTTCCATCAATTTTGTATCTACAAAGAGCGATTTCTTTGTGTTCCTTGGAGCCGAAATGAAAGAATGGCACTAAGAAAAAGAAAGAACATCTTTTTTTTGTATATGAGAGCCAATTGAATTTCAATCGTATAATATCTGTTAACTTGAGAATTCTCTTATAATAAAGGGCGATGATAGGAACTTGCTACGATAGGATAAACATTTATTTCGCAATATCTTGAGGGTGTGGGTGTGGGTGTGTATACAGAGAAAACAACACCCATATCCACACCCACCGCCTTCTTTTGTACAAACATGTGTTGTGCACTTGAATGTCCTTAGCATGAGATAGCGAAACAAAATTAGTTGAGAAAGGAATAGAAGGGGGACCATTCATTCTCAGTCATGTGTAACAAATAGACTAGTAAGGGTATCTCTATGCTCCCGATTCTCAGTCTTTCTGCGCCCAATCGGACGGTATTATGTGTTCCAGCGCACAAAGACTCCACTAATAGCATATTATGGAGACATTTGGGCCACATACTCTGTGGGCTCAGACTATTCTATAATAAGTAGTCTGTGAGCCGTTACTATCAGAGGATCTTTACACGTGCAAGCAGATGCGAAAAGTCTAAAAATATTTGATTAAACCGAGATATCCACTTCTTTATTTCAATGCAATTCAAACGACAAGCAGATAACAATTATAAAAAAAAACCATTCAATCGACCAGTTTCCATGAATCCATCGCTGTTAAGTTAATATTGTGTTCGTGTCTCCTGGTTGTTTCTAGTCGCCTTAATACTCACTTGGGGTTTATTCTCGTTGAGGTTGAGTGAAGTAAGTGTCTGTGCCCATTAACAAACAATAAGATGAGACACATGAAGAGTTTTTCTCTCACAGTGCTATTTTTCAAGGCATCAGCCAGATATTTGGCCCACTGGTCTCCGATGTTATTCCGTCCGAGGTTGAGTGTGGTGAGTGTCTGTGTCCAATAATCAGCAACACATATGAGACAGAACAGGAGAGTCTTTCTCTCACCGTATTAATTCGTAATGCATCGGCCAGATGTTGTGCTCCTGTATCTCCTATTTGATTGAAGTAGAGGTTGAGTGTAGTGAGCGTCTATGCCCATTAAAAAACAAGATGAGAAACAAAACATTTTTCTCTCACAGTGTTATTTTTCAAGGCATCCGCCAGGTGTTGGACCCCTCTGTTTCCGATGCAATTTCTTCCGAGGTTGAGTGTGGTGAGTGTCTGTGTCCAATACCCAGCAACCAGATGAGATAGAACACGAAACTCTTTCTCTCACCGTATTAATTCGTAATGCATCGGCCAGATGTTGTGCTCCTGTCTCACCAATTAGATTTTCCCAGAGATCAAGTGTTGTAAGTGTCTGTGTTAAATAACCACAAGACTATGAGACGGAATGCGAGACTCTTTCTCTACCGTGTTATTTCTTAAGGCATCAGCCAGAAGTTGTGCTTTTTTGTTTCCGATTTGACTCGAAGAGAGGTTGAGTGCAGTGGGTGCCTATGTACATTACCAAAAAATAAGATGAGACAGAATAACAAAAACTTCTTTTCTCATCGTGTTATCCGTAAACCATACGTAAATCAGCTAGTGCGTTTTTAACTTTTCTGTATTTTTTATGAAATGAATAAAAATTAAGAGGGGGGAGCACGACTTTAGTACTTCACGTACTTCCATCGTACTCTCAGTCGCATGGTCGGCTATTTGAGATACTTTTTTGAGTGTTTTATAAATGTTCAGATGGTTATCGATCACATTCGGTGGTTGGAACCGATAGAGTTTACCATGATTTTCTCTGAAGTTTGACTAGTTCTTTTAGGAACAACTCTGCAGTGAGTCCATCCAACAAATACGAGCATACTGACCTAATATATCCTATATAAAGTTTTCTGTTCAGTGATGGATTGCAAATAAAATGAGAAACTCAGCGGAGTCTCCTAGATCAGTATGCATAATGTAATGGTACTCTCTTTAGGTAATACGATTCATAAATTTCAAGATAGTACAATCGTGCTATTTGTATTCTAAGATTAACAAGTAAAATAAAACAAAACTATGATTCGTGGAATCGAATGATATTTGCCAGATGAAAGAAGTTTAGTTTTATGATAACTTTGATATTTACCTGATATCGATGATATGTATCTGTAATCGTATTTAATCGTACGCACACATTACGAGCGGAGCAAAATATTGTGAACTGATCGAGGTTGTCCAGAATTCGATAGACCAGTTCAACCGGTAATGCCAAAAAAGGGGATGAAGATTGCTCAACTAAAACTGTTGTTTTTTTTCGAGAATCAAATTTGTCTTCAGCAAATTCATACTCAAACTTTCTTTTCCCCATATCCATGTGTCTATTGTATAGGTGTGATAAGCCTTTATCGTGTTTGAGTGTTGTTTTTGTTGCGTAGAGGCAGTGCAATAATGTAATACGAGTACTCCAATCAAAAGATAAGTTCTTTATAGTAGATGTCGATAGATTACAAGTTTCCTATGTTATAAATATCTGCTGATTTCTGTATTGTGTACAATTTACATTAAAAATAAACTTATGTACACAAAAAGATATTAAGTCTCTGACATTTAGAAGTAGGACTACTACGAGAAAGAATGAAAAAAAAATAGCAAGATCACTTTTTTAAAAACTTTTTCTCAAACTAAGGGGGAGATAAGTATTCTTTTTTTGACGAGAATTATTTTAGATTGAATAAAAATATCAACTATTGGAAGTGTACAAAAATTAATTGAACAATTACGTGCTGAAGCAAATATTAATCGTATTAAAGTTTCAACTCTGTATATAAAGATTTAATAAGCTATTGCCAAGATCATCAAAATAGTCATGTTTTATATGTACCATGAACACATTTTCATATAAAAAATCCTTCTAAAGAGAAACAAATATGTATTACATTATGATAAGCCTACGTGGTAGTTTGCCGTTAATCAAGACAATTTTTGCATGACTTTTTATATTATTTGCTTATTATCTAGAGTATACTCTAGAGCATATACTGAGTTCACGATACCCAGCCGTGCACCTAATACGTACCTAAAAGTACTTGTCAGTACTCAAATACCATAACGTTCCTGTGACATACTAGTATCAGGATATTTTTTCAGGTACCCTTAACTCAGTATATGCACTAAAGGTATTATCTTTCGATGTGACAATAAAGAATGTACGTGCAAATCAATATTAGTTTTTTTTTCGTTTTATATAATTGATCACGAAGAAATAAAACTAATCAAATAAATAAACGCTTCCTTTTGCTTAAAAATTCAACACATGTTACAATCAATACAAGAAAAGCGACAATAAAATAAACTTTGAGAAAGTTTAAGATTTAACGATGTTGAGCATCAGCACATGATGATGATGATGATTTTGATGACTTAAATCCTCTTGCTGCTTTACAAACTACTGGACTATCTGCATCATGAGTTTCACTTAGAGCTTCTGCTGTTATTGCAATAACCTTCATTTGTTACAAAAACAAAAACATTATAAATTTCAAGAATTCAAAAGAAAAAAAACATACTGTTGTAGTTGGAGCAAGATGACGTAAATAAAGCAGGGTGTGGGTGTGTATACAGAGAAAACAACACCCATATCCACACCCACCCTTCGTTTGACGGACGGCAGTTGAAATTTTCACCGGTATTCTAGTACCTTCAACGTTTCGGCTTTGATTCAATGGATTAAGATATCAACAAGAAGTGGCAGCTGTTATCAAACTAAATGAGATAGTATTCTCATTCGCTTTGCATATTAGAAAAGCGGAAAACATTGAATAAATGGTTAGTGTTGTATATTAAATATCCAAGTCGAACTGACACAGCCGTAAACGGACGTATACGGAGAGAAAAATGGTCGTTTACGGTCATCGTATACAAAGACGGTATACAATCTCCGTTTTCCTTCCTTGTTTATCCGTATACAGTCCCGATGATATACGACCGTAATACTGGATCATGTAAAACTCTAAAACACGACTGTTTATGGCTGTATAAGAAGCGTATACGAAGTCCCTAATCGTCGACCTGGGTAGGCTCAATTAGAAACCACGCTAACTCAAATGTACATCTTCGATTGATGAGATGTTGAAATCTAATGCAGTGCCTGGATCAAGTATAACATATTATTCTCATCCAAGTGAAACAGTATCTGCTGCTGCAGCAGATGATGATCAACTTAATATACCACGATCTAACCAGCCACGCAAAGAAGTATGATCTTTTCAAGTCAGAAAAAAATTGTTTCCATTTAAAAAGTTTAGGGTTCATTCACTGATAAGGCATCATTGGAATATCAATCTGTAACACGGAATATTTTCAAAAAAATCTATCAATGATCTAGTTAAACAAATCAATGAATCAAATATAGCAACAATTATTCAACAACTGCTTCAAAATAATATCATTCGCTTTCGGAATATACTTGCTAAGAGTATTATTGAAGCACAAATGAAGGGTGTGTGTGTGCATATGTGTGTCATCTCCCTTTTTACTAACACCCACACCCGTCGGACAAATCCCTTGCCAAGTAAAGTTTGATGAAATCAGTTAAAGGAAAACAAACAAACAAACAGATGATGAAACACTTAAAAATAAAGGAAAATACATAGACATTGGTGGGCTACCAGAGGGCAATTGGTGGCAATTGCCATACCACAAAAAATATGAAAATTAAAAACTTGCCTAAGAAATAGTATTGGATAAGAAAGTTTGTCAGACATTGCCTTTTTCAATACTAAGAAAGATTCGACATTTATATATTCCACTGGTCAAAAATAGTTTTACAAAGTACTTTTAATATATGATCACTATAAATGAACATTTTGAGACAAGTAATTA